GACCCCCACCAGGACCCAGCCCCATAAAAGTCTATTATGCCCCCACCCCCCAGGATCCAGCCCCATAGAAGCATGCACGTCCAGCAGAATTCAAGTGCTGGATGTAAGCAAACACAGGAGGCCATGGCCAATGTATTGACAAGTATCCTCATTATGCATCCTTATACCTACTGATGTGTTTCCTAATAACTTATTAACATATATATCTCCTTAAATATCTCCTTAAGGAGATATATGTGATCCAGGGAGGTTTTGTACCATCTAATGATATCACTAATCTGTCATCTTTGTTAAAATAAAGAATATATATATTTTTATACAATAAACGACTTGTATGTGTAATTTAAGAGAAGTAAAAACCTGACATGGGATCCTAACATGTTTCTGCACTTTCCAAAAATATTGAAAAAACTTTTGGAAGGGGTTTTATTCTAATCCGCCACGGCTCTACACGGCTTAGAGCAAAGTTCTGTTATTTGACGTTGCCTCAGCATCAAAAGAAGCCGGCAGAGGTGGCTTCTTCTTGGCTCCTAATCCTCTTATCTAACCCTCGCCATCATTCTCCTTGCGAGAAGAAATTCCGCCTAGGCAAACAAGCATCTGGCATTCCCAAGGCCACCCCACCACATCGCTGACTGATCATAACAGGAGAGCATCAGTAGAAATAAACCATCACAGCTAGAGGCGTTTCCTCATGTAGGAGGAACCCTCATCTCAACAGGACACTCAGCAAACTCATGTAGCTGGGAACAGCAATACATTACATTTCAGCGGTTTTGCCAACACTTACTCAAAGTCAGACAAGGAAAGGATACTCCGTTTATAAATACATCATACACTGTAAGTAAAGAATAACGGGTCTGTTTATAAATAATTCTCAGAGCCATTTGTTCTACGAATCTCTGAACATTCGCTCTGTGCAAATAGCAGCAAAAATACATTTCTTAGTATATTTTCTTTTAGGTTGAAAGGAATGAAATACAGCATTATGGCCACTAGATGGAGCTGCCGAGCAAAGAAATAGGTTTTTCCCATGGTCCTCTGCTCGATCTAGTGCCCATAATGTGGTATTCCATTCAACCTCAAAACTATACTTGGAACATTTATTTTTGCCAATATTTGCACAGGACGAATGTTCACAGAGACTCGCAGGGTGAAAGGCTCTGCATATGGTTTATAAATAGACCCCTAAATAAACTCCAGTGTTGTGTTACCCTTACCTTGTGGATCCACCTCTTTTGATAATTTCAAGGCATCGGAGTTGGCCAGGTCAGTGTTGGCTGGAGTGACAGCCAGGATTAGACAGCTGTCTCGACTGATGAACTGGAGGATCATGTCCTTGATTTGGTACTCAATGTCCTGCGGCTGGTCACCAACAGGGATCTTTGTGATCCCCGGGAGATCAATCAAGGTCAGGCTCAAGACTGAAAGACAAAAAAAAAAGTTAATTAGAAGAGATAACGCTGAACGCAAAGCTGTCCAACAATCATAATGATGAAGATGCATTTACTGACAGCAAACTGTTCTACACTTCACAATGGAACAGGTGACTGTTTTTACGATACAAAGTGCGCCTTAGCAAACTAAACATCACTTCAGTAAAGCTGGCCATACACCAATAGATTATCTGCATATGTTCTATGGTCAGATGGAGAAAGTTACACAGATTCCTCCATCTACACTACACTGTGTGGATGGAGGAAACTCCCGCTGGGCCAAGCTTCAGTATCTTGCTATCAGCCCCGCTGGCCCTCAAAATACCCGAACAATCTAATTGGATGTAGGCATTGTTCAGGTCCCCAGTTGTCCGGTGAGGCAGGCACGGACACACACCGATGGCCTTCCCTGGAATCTAGCACTGGGTTAACCAACGGCGATCCGAAAAGACCATTGTCTGTATCCTACTACTGAGTCAACAAACAGTTTTAGACGCCGTTACCCATACTCATTCCATTGTCTGGGCGAATATTATAAATCCCCAAAATTCGTTGAATATTGCCCTATGGAGGCATCTGGTGGCCTCATCTGAAACTGATCTCTATTTGAGTTTTCACACAATTTCTTCTGAAACTTTCAACTCAGACCACCTCTTAACCTGAAGAAGAGTTATATACGCGAAACGCGTTGTCATCCTCTCACCAACCCCAATTCCCTGGGTCAAGCTAAGAATCTTTACATTTCAGAATATGATTTATACTGCTATGTACCACATTTATTTTACCAATTGTTAACTAACCTTGTTACACTGGTTGAGACACATCAAATCGATGCAGTCTCAATAGCAATCCAAGATCAGGTGGACTACATGCAAGCTACCTTGTCAAACCTATTAGATTAGGTCTGGTTGGGCTCGATATCCAGCTCACCTCGACCTATCTGAGGGTCCCAAACATCTACGCAGTTCCTTCTGTTACACACTCTATACTACACCTGACCAACTGCTATAGAATGCCTATCGATTGAACTGTGTCAAAGTCTAGACCTACAAATGTATTATACAGTCGTACTACTTAGCCTGACAAGTGATGCTAACTGTATCGGAGGGTCCTATGGTTTTTACTAGTCAATTTGTCCCATTTTAACCATGTATTGAATAAAAAGTATACTTTTTATATAAAAACACTCTTGCAAAGTGTCGTTCAAAGTGCCTAAAAACCCCCACTTCTCTACAATGTCTCTTTCTAACCGGCATTGTTCAGGTATTTTGAGAGCCAGTGGGGGAGACTAGCAAGATTCTGAAGCTTGGCCCAGTGGGAGATTCCTCCATCAACACAGTTTAGTGTAGATGGAGGAATCTGTTGACTTTTCCATCTGATCACAGAAAATCTGCAGATAATCTATAGGTATATGGCCAGCTTTAGGAGTTTACATCTAGCATACAGCATGGCCCAGGACCAGTCCCAACCTGGATTAGGAAAAAAGCTGCCCCTATGAGGACAACACGAGTTGTATCCCAGGCCAGGGTCCAAGTCACCCAGCTGCCCTCCCATCCCCAATCATTCCAGTGTGGGTTATCCTCATACTTCCACGCGAGGATTTTCCATATTTTACATCACATGCTTTATTAACATTGACATTCAAGTGCCGCGACCAAACACACATGTTTATTTTTTAAACGACTAGATAAGGAAAGATGAGTTTTAAGAAAACCTGACATTTTATTTAACAATATAACGCAGTTTCACATTCATCAATAACAAGATCCGGTATGCTTCTGTTGCAGTCGTGGGGTTTTAATTCTTCGGAGTGTGCTTGCTAAATGTCATTTTAAAAATGAAGCATTGTTAAAGACCACCTTCCCTTTTCAATGTGCAGACAGCAATGGTATCCATGAACAAATCACAACGTTTAAATGCATCTTCCTTAAAAACACGGCAACAGTATTCTATTTAAAGACAGACTTTTAAGCTACACGAGAGAAAAGGTTTCATAGCTTTTACTTGGCGATTATATGTTTTCTGGACATAGCCTGCTGCCTTGAATGTTGTTGGGCAGGGTACGTTGATGGCCACTATCCTTGACCTAGTGGACCTTTACCCTTATCTTTAAATCAACAACAAACACACCTTTAGAAATGTTTAGTAATGACAATCTACAAACAAATACTTCTAGAGAATTCCCAGCTTTGTATTCCTTGCATATCTTATTTCTGTTCCCCAGTTTTCTGGCAGTGGCCATGTTTAATAAGGGCAGATTACAGATCCTTTTACTTCCTGGATTTCTGGCACATGTGGCCATGCACGTCTTCTCAGGGGAGGAAAATGTCTTTGCCTGAGATGACAGATGAGATTTCCCCAATGCTCTGCTGAGGACAAGCCAATCCCAGTGTACATTGCTCATGTCACATACATGTGGATCCAGCAGAGTTTGTCGACATTCCAAAGATGTGACTCAGAATGAAGGAATGTTACCTCGATATGCCACAGCAAATCCAGATAATGAGTTTTGTTAACTTACACCTCAACCTTCCCAGTCCCCAGCTGTCTGTGGACTCTCCTCCTGTACTCCTTTCATCCCTACACAGTCCCAATGCAATGAAGCAACAGCAGGCATTCCCCCCCCCCCCCCCCCCTCCTGGCACATGCGACTAGGACATGCGACTAGGACATGAGACCATGCATTTTCCCCATAGTTCTCCTAAGGGTAATGGGAGGACACAAACTAGCATCCTCCCGTCACCCTAGGCTCAGTATACCACGATCTAGAGGCAGAGCCAGCTGTACAAACCCCCCCCATTCGTTCCGCCAGTCAGCGCTGGCGGATCAGAGCGGGGAGGGGGGAATCCAGCCCCTCCCCTGTCATGGCACTGAGATGTCGCAGCTGAAGCGGATCCAGACAATTATGTCTGGATCTGCCCAGCTGCGTGAGTGACAGCTGGCTCTGCCTATCTAGAGGCAGAGCCAGCTGAAATCCAGTCCCTCCCCTGTCACGGCTCCCTGCCGTGACAGGATCGAGAGGTGAGCGAACGCCGTTATGTGTTCACTCACTTCCAGATCTACTGAGCCGACCTGTGACAGTCTCATTGTCACAGGTGGGCTAGAACTATGAGGTAGCTCTCCTTTAACAAAATTGTATCTTATTTGTGTATCACTCAGCTGTAGATCCTCAAATGATCTCTGAATTGGTGCTGACAATGTCCTTCCTTCTGGAGGATGGCTACTTTTTGTTCCCCATGGTCCCTGTGTGTGTTGTAAAGTAGCCTCGGATCCAAGCTCGCTCCTGTGATGGACTACAATCTCAATACACATTAGTAAACATGAGATTGTAGTCCATCACAGGAGCGAGCTTGGATCCGAGGCTACTTTACAACACACACAGGGACCATGGGGAACAAAAGTAGCCCCCCTCCAGAAGGAAGGACAGTGTCAGCACCAATTCAGAGATGATTTGAGGATCTACAGCCGAGTGACACACAAATAAAGATACACTTTTTGTTAATACTTAGGGTACTTGAATGTATTTTTAAGATTTAACTCCTGAGTTTAGTGTCACTTTGAGAAACCTTCAATAAGCAGATATATTTGGCATGTCCTACCTCTGATGTTTCTCCATTACTGCTTTTTATACCACTATTGGTATCGTGGGCCAATACTAATAACAGGACATCACTAGTCTATGATCACTAAATATCACCATTTTAATTTGGCATAAAAACAGCAAAGTGGCAAGTTCTGAGGATTGGAATATGGCATTCCTGGCAATGTCGTTGGGTTTGCAGTCTTGGTTGTTTCACTGTTGGAATTAGTCACATTTCTGAAAAGTTGCCTGGGGTGTAATGGTTCTGGAACACTGGAACGGATCATAGTAAAAGACAGAACCTCGTGTTTACATCGAAGGCCTTTTCCAATATGTATACACCAGAAGCAGGTCTGCAGTAAGGGCCCACCAACATCCTTGCAGTGTATATAGCTGACAAGGGGAAGGCTTTTTAACTAACAAAACTGGGCTTTAATGGTACATGTGTATTTTGTTTCATGTACAGAACTCCTAGGTTATGTAAAGAGAATGGACTCCACTAAATTATTATGTGGTATTACACTTTTGAAAGAGACTAAACTAAACCGGAAAAAACAAACATTGCAAACAAATGGAGCAATTTCATAGCCATGATATTATCTGATGTGTGTAACAGCCGAGAATGCAGCATGCGAGTTGCTGTCACATCACATTCAGCACTGACCACACACCAGGTTTAGTCTGACTCATGGAGGTTTCACAACACTGTTTATATGTACAACATAAGCTTCCTGCACCTGGCTAGTGACAACTGTTGAAAATCACCCATAATATGTTGTACGGGATAACAACAAACTGGCTGCACTGCTGGCTACATTCTAAGTGAACAGTACCTCTGCAGGAATCGGACGATATTTGCACAGTGGGTGCCGCTGTCAGCACCGTTTTGGTCGGCATCCCTGGATCAGCTGATCGAAAGAGCCAATCGGAATATCTTCGAACTAATAGAGCCGGCAGCCAATGAGTTGCCAGCTCTGTTCAGGTATCTGGACAGCGGACGGCTATATGAAAAACTATACATTTAATGTAATCTGCTTATAATCTGCCTTCTGACTACTTTGTTTTTATCTCCCTCATCAACATGCTAAAAATGTAAAGAAATACTTTGCTGGGCAATGTACATTTGCTTGATCTGGATTCATTATTGAATCACTTATGCTAATTGGCGTTTGTAGTTAGAGAACTATGTGGTTAAGGCTTTTCCCCATAGTTCTCCTTAGGGTAACGGGAGGACACAAACTAGCGTCCTCCCGTCACCCTAGGTTCAGTATACCGCGAGCTATAGCTCGCGGTATACTGAGACACCGCAGTATACCGCGAGCTGTTGCTCGCGGTATACTGAGACGCCGCAGCTGAAGTGGATCCCGACAATTGTGCCAGGATCCGCCCAGATGCGTGACGGACAGCTGGCTCTGCCTATCTAGAGCCAGCTGTACACGCCCCCTGCCCCTCCGTTCCGCCAGTCAGCGCTCACCGGAGCGCTCACCTCCCGATCTACTAAGCCGACCTGTGACAGTCTCATTGTCACAAGTCGGCTAGAACTATGAGGTGAGTGAAAAGCACCTCACCTCATAGTTCTCCTTTAAGGCCTCATTCACACGAGTAACAGCCGGACAATACAGATCCGTGCTGTGTGCGATTTGTACGCAGCAGTCTGTTCTTCTCTATGGGAGTATGCGGCGGTACACTCAACCGAACGTCTGTGCTCGGACACATCATGTCGGCGTAGGAGTACGGACACCAGTACGGACGTGCAGTTCGGTTGAGCGTACCCCCATAAAAAAAGAACAGGCTGCTGCGTACAAATCACACACAGCACCTGTCCTTCCCGGGAGCGGCCCGATACGGCCGTGCATGCAGCACGGATCTGTACAGGCCGGCTGTAAGTCGTGTGAATGAGGCCTAACCCAAACATCACCCCGTTATCTCAAGAAATGCTTAGGATATGTACGTCCTCTATGAACATCTGCTTCTTCTGTCTTGTAGCTAGGACTAATGACAACCTGAGTGTTCCTACGCAAGTGGATGTACTGGATATTATAAAAGAAAGTCATACAATGTAAAAGTGCTCCGACAAGGCTTTCCAAATGTAATAATGTGGCCTAAGAGTGCCCCGAGGGCTCAGTGCTGACTAGAATGCTTCTGACAAGAAGACCCTTGAGGTTTGTCATGTAGATATAAAAAGGCGAGTGCTTCTCCGGTTTTATCAGAATGACATGCCAAGAGGCAGAGAAATGAAAATGGATTAGCGCTCATAAGACTGGATTTGTCCTCAACGGTCATAATAATAGTTATGTCTTGTGTCAACTGCTAGGCTGCTATAAAGAAATTACAAACTGGTTTAACAAGAAGTTATAAAGTAATTTAAAGTCAATCTCTAGACAAATCATTTATTTTTTTACTTTATAGCATTGAATAAAACCAGGGTTTTATTTGCCATCCATGTCCTGTTGGAGAGAGGTAGATCACGTTCTGTCTCAAAGGTGTAAGACAGAGAGAACGTCTCAAAAGTAGAGAAGAAAGCCTTATTATTAATAGTTTTCTGTACAAGAGGCAAGGGTGATGTCGCTCAGCTTTCTCATGGGATCATGGGAAAGCCGAATCTCCGGAAAAGTTGCTCCCACACTTCTAATTGCTTTAGAATCTTCAGCAGGATACTGGAAGGAGGCTGAGCGAGCTCACCCTTGCTTTGGTGAACGAGTTGGAAGCTAGGATCTAAAAGGTAACGATTTTTTCCTACAATATAAAATTCAGTTCTTGCAATTTATTTTGTCCACTTTTGGCTCGAGTAGGGGGAATGGTTAAAACTAGTCAAAAACGACGAAAGTGCCATCTTTCGGCAGAAATAGCGGTGCATCCCTGATTTCTCTCCTCCCCGCTGGGAGCTGCTCTGTGTCCCCTCTGACATAGCGCAGTGTCCAGCGGTAGGGAGAGAAACAGTCACAGGAGGCCGAGCCATACGGGGGAGGAGAGCGATGTGAGCGGCTGGCATCTCTCCCACACTGCTCAGCCTCCTGTGACAAGATAAGGAGAGCGTCTAGTATAAGCAGTCGGTGATCAGTGATCGCGGAGTGTTTGTAAATAATTAAGGACAGAGTATGCTTACTGTGTCCCCAATTATGAATGAATGGGACTTGACCTACATCACCTCCTGTTCATTCATGATTGTGGGCATGATCTGTCCACATGTTATAAATAAAACAGGAACACTGAGTATAGAGGATTCTTGTTCATTTATAACAGGGGCTGCAGTAAAAAAAAAAAGAGATTGAGAACAGAGTTGTCAATCTCTTTTTCTATTTTAAAAAGGGAAATATCAGGGATCTAGTTAAAACCCATCAATTCATTTATTGTTATGGCCCATTGGAGAGATGTCCCAGACACTCTTCCCACACAGTTCCCAGAGTCCCTCTTACAGTTGTCACCAGAACATTAAAAGTATTACCCCTTAACCTATGTTTTGGTGACAACTGAAGAATTTTGTTTTTCCCATTACTTTCTATCCCAGTGACAAAAGTCAACAGGACAAATAGGGTGACTACACCTAGCCGGAACACAAGAAAGGGAGTTCTGAACCTTCTCAACTCTACCCCAGACTAAAAGTTTAGGCAATGTATACATTTTAACTCTTGCTGGGATGGATCTAAAAGCAGAACAAAAAGGGCTAAAAAAATACTTTTGTTGAACAAAATGCTGCTGAAATGGATGCAGAATTATGTGGATGTGAGATTGCTGCAGCATTCATATATATCATTTGTCTGGAGGTGATCAGTTTTAAGCCCACATGAGCTGGCAGTTATACAATCCTAATTGATAACAAGGTTCATGGGACACAATTGTATGATGTGTCAGCATGATAAAAGGTAGGTAAAGAAATGTCTCTGCTCACCGTGAGGCGAATAGACCCGCAGGTTAATGGGCACAGGTGAAATGCCTTTGTTACTTCCAGTTGCCCGTTCTGTTTCCGCTTCGATTTCCTGGCGAACTTCATCGAAATCCACAAATTTCTTTGACTTGCAGTGCAGAAACTCGGCATACTCTATAGAACAAAAAAAGCAAGGTTTATACAATGAACCAACACTATGTGTAGAACTGTGAGACACCAACAACTATTTTTACCGCAGTACAACTTTTAAACAAGTGCAATGCGTCGTTTAGTGCATCAGAGATCAGAAACAGTAGACGGAGGAAATGGGGGCACTTCTGCTGCTGGATATACATTTGATTCTAAGGCCTCATTCACACGAGAAAAGGCCGGCACGTACAGCTCCCGGGAAGGACAGGTGCTGCGTGTAATTACTATGCAGCCACTGTACTTCTCTAAGTGAATACGCGGCTGTACGCCGCCCTACGTTCACCCCAAGTACAGGTCCGTACGGGTGTCCCGGCTCGGACGTAGACAGGATCCATCCTGTCAGTGTACGTGTACGGACACCCCTACGGACGTGCAGGGCGGGTGAGCATAGGGCAGCGTATGGCCACATACTCCCATAGAGAAGGACAGGGACTGCGTAGTAATCACACGTGGCACCTGTCCTTCCTGGGAGCTGCCCTATACGGCCGTGCACGCAGCTGTACGTGCCGCCCTTTTCTCATGTGAATGAGGCCTGAATATCAAAAAGTCGGTCTAAGAAAAGATGAACTTACTAGTTAAATCTTTTTTTTTTTTGAATGATCCGTCATCTCAGCAAAATGTACAAACTGCTGTAGTGGGAAGGCAAACCCAAGCAAACCATTAAAGGGTCAAATCCATTCCAAAACTAGTAATTCAGTTTTTACTGGTGCAGGAGAGGGACTCTATTGGTGAGAACACTATGGAGGAGCATGTAACCAGAGCTGGAAAGTACAAAGTTTAGCGGGAACACCCAAACTTCCAGGGGGACAAAACAGAGTCAGGAATTACGAGGAGATCTCGCTGTACGAGTATCTACTCTAGAACTTCAATACAAATTAGTAAACTAATCCTGAGATTGTAGTCCCATCACCAGAGTGAGCTTGGAGCCACCCTCCAGAAGGCAGGAGTGCCAGCACCAATTCAGGCTCCATTCACACAACAGCAATTGGTCTCCTTGAATATTTTGAGTGCTTCAAAGGCCAGGGCAAATGAGCACAGGTTTAACCCCTTAATGACCAAGGCCTTTTTTTTTTAGTTTTTTGTACCCATGTTATATTCCACATTTTAAGCCAGAAAATTACTTCAAACCCCCAAACATTATATATTTTTCTGAAAGCCAAGACCCTGTAGAATAAAATGGTGGCAGATGAAAAATGCACTTGAATGCCCCAAAACATAATACCCGTTTTTTTTAAAAATAAAGTATAAAAGATGAGGTTACAACAAGTAAACAGATACCCAACATGCCCAGGTTAAAAATTGTGTGCGTCTGTGAAACGGCAACAAAATTCAGTACCCAAAAAGTCCATACATCATGCATCACGCCCCTACAGCTCATCAGTTTAGAGATGAGTGTAAATATTGGCCCTAGAATTATTGCTCTCACTCTGGCGTGCGCAACAATACCCAAAATATGTAGCGCGATCATTGTTTTCGTACACAGGTGCACCCAACGGGTGTTTACGTGAAGACAAGCGTGCTCATGGGAGAGGGGGGGACATGAAGACATTTTTAAAATGTTTACATTTAATTTAATCTTTAAAACTTTTTTTTAAACTTTACTTTGATTGCCATCACATAGGGGGGCTTACAAGCCCCCCATGTGATACCATATTGGTGATGACATGATGATGTCCTCTTTATGGTGATACTCTTTATGGTCACCTTTATACTCTAAATAGGCTATTGAAGTACAGATTGCACTTCCAAGAGCTTATTGCTGGGCTTCAGGAGCTGAGCAATGACAGCTATGGGGCCGTAAGTGATGTAATCTGCGTCGCTACCGGTCCCATAGAACGGGGAAGGAGATCGGTGAACAGACATTCATCACTTTCCTCCCCAGCTTCCCACCGACACCTGAGATGCCGGTCCTGGGCACACAGGAGGGGCAGCGGAGCCCAGGGAAACACGGGGGGGCAGGCAGTTTACCGGCCCGTAGAAGCGATCTGGCGGCAGCTGAATCGCCAGAAATCGCTTCTATTGTAAAGCCGGCCACTGGCTCTACAAATTTTAACAGTCTGTTTAAACGGGACCGATGCCATGTACATCAATGGTCGCGAAGGGGTTAAAAGGAGGTAAAGGTCGTCGCATACAGCAAATGGTTTATGTAGAATCTAAAGGGTTGCTAAATTTATGATCCAAGCACATAAATACACTATGACCCAAAACTGCCAAACAGGTTCTACCTGTGGGAAGTGCCTTTAATTACTCTGAATGATGAGTCAACAGCTAAAGTTCAAAGAATTTACAAAGCATTCACTCGGCCCCGTGGCAGGTTACACAGCATGTCCTTAAACAGCAGTTTCAGAATGACTTTCTAAAAAATGGCCTGTTGGCCTTCTGAGATGTGTACTTCCACAGTCCCTGAAAATCCAGGAGCCGCTTACCTAATTCTGTCCACTGAGAGGCAGAAACATTTATGTCAGAACTCTTGAGGACGGGTATATCGAACCCAAATGAAGCACAGGGTCTACTGCATTGGGGCAACTTCCAAAGTGGCAGCATTACATTTACCGAGGACCACACTTGCCAAAACACAATTTAAAGAGAACACTTTCAGATGGAAATAAATGATAAAATATACAAATTTCCCCCTGAAGAAGCCAAAGCAGAAGAAACCAGAGTTGGAAGATCCTAGATATACTGGATTGCAATAGGCCTTTGAAGATTCTAGGATAAACATCCTTTTTATTAATACAAGCATCAGTCTACATGATCAGCCGTGCCTCGTTTCCGGAGTGTGTTTATTAGTGCCGGACCAGGCCGCAGGATTTCAATAGCTTGTTGTCCCAGTGCTTGCTGTAAAAAAAGAGGAAGGTGTATCTGCTCTTGGAAGACCTTTGAGGAGACGTGTGAACTTAAAATATAAACAAATTGATTTATTGTTTTGCATATATGTACTGCTAGCGAGCATTAGATATATGCAAAAACATTAAAAAGAATTTAAACAAAAAAATAAAATAAAAAAGTTACCAAAATGGTAATTACCTACTTTTGTCACAGCCGCTCACTCCCGTCTGAAGATCTGGAGTTTCTCGAGCAGGATGATGGGGTGGGCACATGGTCAGTAGAGATCTTCAGCGGGGAGAAGGAGAGACAAAAGGGTCTGGAGAAGCCGTGGAGAACGTTATGCTACCTGTAATATCCTTCAGCATGACCGGCTGGTAGTGGGTCAGTGATGGTCTGGGGAGGCTTATCCATGGAGGGACGCACAGACCTCTACAGGCTAGACAATGGCACCCTGACTGCCATTAGGTATCGGGATGAAATCTTTGGACCCATTGTCAGACCCTACGCTGGTGCACGACAATGCCCGGCCTCATGTGGCAAGAGTATGCAGCCAGTTCCTTGAGGATGAAGGAATTGATACCATTGAATGGCCCCCACGCTCGCCTGACCCAAATCCAATAGAACACCTCTGGGACATTATGTCTCGGTCCATCAGACACCGCCAGGTTGCACCTCAGTCTGTTCAGGAGCTCAGTGATGCCCTGGTCCAGATCTGGGAGGAGATACCCCAGCACACCATCCGTCGTATCATTAGGAGCATGCCCCTACGTTGTCAGGCATCCATACAAGCACGTGGGGGGGCCATACAAATTACTGAGTACCATTTTGAGTTGCTGCAATGACATTTCAGCACAATGGACTATAGCCTGCTGCATCATTTGTTCTCTTTGATTTTTGGGGTGTCTTTAAATTCAGCTCTCTGTAGGTTGATCATTTTTCATTTCCATCAAAGGATGTGGCATCCTTTCGTTCCTAACACATTACCCAGTCCAGTATGCAGTATGTATCCAGCATGATATTTTTCCCCATTGAGATCTGATGAGTTTTCAAAGTGTTCCTTTATTTTTTTTTGAGCAGTGTATGAGAATATATATATATATATATACTGTGAGGGGAATTTATCAAAGCTGGAGCAGTTGCCCATAGCAAACAATCAGCTTCTCTCTTTCAAAGTTTAACTGAACAAACTGAAGCTTGTAGCTGATTGGTTGCTATGGGCAACTGTTCCAGATTCTGTCTGCTCCAGTTTTGATAAATTCCCCCTATGTGTATATCATATTCATGTACAAACAGCCAATCAGCATAGAGCCTCCTTCCAGGCCAATCAGAAAGCCGGGTCATTACACCCGGCCCGGCTTCCCGATTCCCAACCAAATCGGCACCAATACTAGTATCAGTATCGGTGCATCCCTAATATTTACATTACAAAAGCACCAAGTCTATACTATAAATCACAGTTCGCTACAAGGAAAAACTTCACGCAAAATTAATATTGGTACAATCTTTGTAAATCACCAACACATGAATAGGGAGCTGAAACAGACTTACCCGTTTTTGAAAAAATGAGCTGAAGGATGAGGGGACGACGTGTAACGATTCCAGATCCACGGGGAAGGAAATCCCTGCAGAAAAATCACAGGAGACAATTGGTGATCAGCCAGTGTATCAGGCAATGCCAGTACATCCAACCACCCATCAGGCCCAGATTTCACATGTATTGATCTTTCCCACAAGGAGGGCAAACAGGGCGAGCCAACAGAACACGGCCTACAGATTCAACCTGTGTGTTACTGCCACGTCATCTGCCACTGCCAGTATCATCTATCGCAGGGGTAGGCAAGCTCGGCTGTGATGAAACTACAAATCCAATCATGCCTCTGTCTCTAGAAGTCAAGTCTCTGGCTGTTAGAGCCTTGCCATGCCTGACGGGACTTGTAGTTTTACCACACCCGGAGTGCCAAAATTGCCTACCTCTGAGCTAGGCTCAGCATCTACTTCCGGCACTGGGATGCTGACTCAGACAGGTCAATGTCATGTACATCCTGGCGTCTGTGCAGTTCTTGGCTGTGTTCACAGATCTCCGACATAGACCAGCCCCTGCTGCAGCCTCTCATCGTCTGACTTGCTACAATGGTACAATGTTGCAGTGTGAACACTGGAGAAGGAGACTGGGGAAATGCTTTCTTCTGCCTGCAGCAGACTGATGGCATCTCAGACTAAGCAAATATTTCTGCACTGGATCTCGAAGGCAGGTTTATAAATAAAAAAAAGTGAGGGTGAGATTTTTTTCTTGAATAATGATTCTGTTGTAATTTGAAAAGTGACTGCAAAATGGCGACCAGGAGGTGTTCTGTACACAGTTGGTGTATGGAACGCCCGCCCCAAATGTCACTTCCTGCTTCTGTGATTGGATAACACATTTTCCCAGAAGTCTGCTCAAAGATACAAGCATACTTTTTGGCAGTAGGAATTTCATTTTTGGTAAGATGCTCCCTAAGGGTTAATTACTACGAAAGGGATGCCGACACTGCTCCTTTCCTCATTACAACACAGGAAGTGCAGCAGCTGGTTATAATGACCCGACCCTCCCATCCAGGAATCAGTCTGGAAAGGACACGCTGCAACAAATAGCGTTCTCTTCAGAACAGAAACAGGTAGGAAACTGCAACAAAAGTTTGCTAAAATCCTTGTAATGTACCAGATCACCCAGAAAGGATTTTTTTTTTCTTTCCCTCAACAAAAGTAGAATTAACCTAAGGCTTGGTTCAGCTATCGGCAATCCCAGGATGCACGTGATCGTGCACACAGCGATTGCCATGCGGCTACATTGATTTTAATGGGTTTATATCCGTGCAGCAATCGCTGAAAGAAAGAAAAAAGTACACGCACCTCTTCTCGCGACACGCACTGCGCGGTTGTTTGAACTGTGATCGTGCGCAATTGCACGAGTGGGATTGTGGCAAGAAACTGCGCAATCTACCTGGCACGACTGGGGTGCCATTAGAAAATAAAAGGCACCGCCAGCGCGATCTGCGGTGATGTGCGATTCCATGATCGCGCGGTTTTGTGCACGATTGCCGCACGGTCACGGATCCCCCAAGTGTGCCCCTAGCCTTAGTCAGGTTTTAAGACTTGTGTTTTTTTCACTCCTGGGTTGCTGAAATACCCTCAAAGTGCCACATTCTTAAAAAGCTGCACAAAGCAGTTGTTTGTCCAGACTCAATTGATGCAGTTTATTTAAGGAGACCTAAAATAAGGTTGTTTTATCACCTGTCAGAACACGGAAGAGGCAGCAGCTGGATAGGGACGCACCATTATAATACAGGGACTGGTGACTGAATAAAAACCTTTGTGCAGCTTGTTATCCTTCATTCCCTCCAACAGTCCAATTACTTTTTGCTGGATCATGCTGCATTACAGTAATACAATAAATGGACCGGAGGAAGTTGGAAATGATGAATGTTTCTTCCTGTGCAACGAAGGAAGATTATAACACATCCTGGATCAATACTGACCATGTCCAATTTATCTTAGCGCAGCGTGATGCGAGCTGCTTTTCCGTCCCAGTCTGGCACTCCCTAGGAAGTTAATCAAACTTCCATTATCATACCCAGCCAGTGTATGTCAGCACTGGGACAGGCACAACACTTGCTGAGAGACGGCCTACACGTTTCTCATGCATTGTGCATTTCAAAATGGCATCTCTTTCATTTTTCATGATTTGGACAGGGAAAAAACATGACAATCCCTTTAATACCGGTCACACTTGCTGTAAAGGAAAACAAAAAAACACCTCGATTGTTTAAAATGGAAAAACCAACCATGAGGAAAAGCTTTTAAGATCTCTACGTATTGTTGACCCTCGTGTTGCCCGACTGTCACAACGTCAATGGGTTTGATTTATAACAAGCTGCATGAATGGACTTGATTTACAGCCACGAGTGTTCCACAACTTGCAGGTCTTCCAGCGTCACACCGTATCAGCGCTGATGGCAGATCTACTACCAGCCCCGAGTAGAACAGGTACACCCAGCCAAACATGAAAACACTACATCTAAAGCCAGGCTCAGCAAAAACAAGGAGCCAGCAATCTCTTATCAAAGAATTCTGCTAACTGTTCAAAGACGTTCCGTTGCAACAACCCATTGTACAAAATATGACTAGAGTCAGGGCTGCACAAATCCCGGGAGCCAGGTAGTCAATGCTCCTTACAATTTACAGCTGGCTCCCAACGTTTGAGGTTTTCTCTAGTTGTTGTCATTGGATTGGACTCCTTAAAAAATCCTGTTTTCTACTCAATTCTATATTAACCAGTTGACATCCGCGGTGTTAAACCCCCTTCCCATCCAGGCCATTTTTCAGTATTCAGCGCTGCGGTACTTTGACTGACATTTATTCCGTCATGCAGCGCTGTACTGAAATGAATTTTATACCCTTTTTTGAGGACAGATAGAGCTTTCATTTGGTGGTATTTATTCACCACTGGGGGTTTTATTTTTTTACTATATTAAGGAAAAATCACCGAAATAAAAAAAAAAAACAGTTTCCCCTATATTAAATGATAAAACATTTATTATTACCCAATTTTTTGGTAAAATATAAAAGACGGGGTCACGTCGGGTAAAAAAGGGACTGTCCTTCATACTTCAAAAAGAAAAAACTATAGCCAAACCTTTTTTGGGGCATTAGTCCTCTTTTGGGTCACAGGAGTACATTTACCAATGTCCTCCAATGACCCAAAGTTAGCATATAGCAGCCTACTGCCCGCTATTTGTTGACTGTGCTGCAGCCGTGAAAGGTCCCGACAATATGGTCAGGATCCACCCCGCAGCCTGATTGACAGCTGTGCCCGCCCTTCCATTGAGCACCTGGAGGATCGGAGAGTGGAAGGGGGAATCCCTGCAGGGAGCAATGCTGACAGTCAATGCTCTACACAGGGAGAAGCCATGAGCTTGTGATCACTCTATTCTCGATGTGTAGAGCCGGTGTGTAACAGTTGCAGTGTACCACCTTGGCTCTAAGTATTGGGAAGAGTACATGTCGGCAAAAGATTTCGACGGTAGTAAAGAAAAAAAAAAACAGAATGGAAACTTTTTTTAAATGAACAAAAATTCTGACAGTGTGGTTTCCAATCGGGAAACTTCATTCATTCCAAATCGAATGTTAAAACCAAAACTTCAAAAAAAAGGACATTTGGTCAAGTCTCTGATGACATTATTGAACGTTCTGACCAAATTCTTTCATACGAACATTCGTACGGGAATCTACCAGCATATGGCCGAGCTTTACTCCAGTAACTGTCAAGAGTATAAACACTAACAGGGTTATTCACAAAAGGGTGAAGAGTTTGGAGAAGGCCGGAGAAGTGAACAATTTGGAAAAATTCAGCTCACTTTCCAGTTCCTCTAGGTTGTCCTAGATTGTTCACTTCTCTGGCCTTCTCCAAACTCTTCACCCTTTTGTGAATAACCCTGTAAGAGTCACGCTGAATTATAGAAAAGGGGAATAGTATTTGTGATCAGTTTAAAACAAAGTGCAAATCCTGCCTGCAAAAAAACAAACAAAAACAAACTTAAAGTAAAAATAATTAAGATAACCTGTAGGCATTCAAACATGAAAAGGGGGAAAAAAAAAAAAGAAGACAGAAATAAGGAAAGCTAAAAATACTGGTGAAAACTGTATAAAAACTGCATATTACAGAACACTGACACAAAGGCCGTGCGGCTGGGAAAGGAGGAGATGTAAGGCAGCGTGCTGTGCGCCGGAATAGAATAGAATATTTTTAGCTCGCAGCAAGCGCAGTGTTCAGACACCGAAGAGGAAGGAAGGCAGCAGAGCTGCTCTGATTGTCACAATCAAGAATAACAAACAAACAAATGGCTGGGTTTTGTGGCATGTGCTGTGTCAGGCCTGTGATAAAAAGAGTACTCTGGGTATTATTCGCCCGGGCGCAGGACCAACAGGAAGCCGAAACAAATATCTACAGAGGAAAGACATTGTGTCATCATCCTGCAGAGAAAGCACTTAGCACGGTTTACACCACTCAGCACTTTACACCACTCACCTAGATTGTACACAATATGAGGGGCGACATGACATGGCAGCTATACATACAGCGTCGCTCACACATTCACATCTTAAAAAGTATAGATTTTTTTTTTTTCATTCATTTTAGATAGTTATGCAAAAGAGAGCCACTAAATGTAAATTTCCTTTGCAATGAATGCTAATGTTTTAAAGCGCAACTCTGTGCTGCTGTAAAATGTAACCGTGGCCCCTCCTCGCCACGACGCACATTGGTTAAAAGCTAGAGGAGTTAGAAGTAAAAATACTAATTTCTTGCTCCAGCAGGCTTCCTCTGCACGGCCAGTCCCCCCAAAGTCTCCAATGCCATCATGTACAAATGCAGAAGCATTGGTGGACAGCAGGGGCCCATCACATACATGGCACCCCGCAGAGATTTCTCTCCCCCCACCCTCTGAGCCTCCAGCGCTGAGTGGCGGGTACAGCTGGCTCTGCAGCTGGGTGGATCTCGGCAGTAATGTCGGGATCCGTCCCGGCTGCCTCAGTATATCGCTCGCAATGTACTGAGCTTTGGGTCACGGGAGGACGCTAGTATTTG